TGACCCTAACTCTGACCCTAACTCTGACCCTAACTCTGACCCTAACTCTGACCCTAACTCTGACCCTAACTCTGACCCTAACTCTATTTGTATGAGATACTTTGGCTCCGTCAAACTCTTTATCGTTTGTTAGCTGAGGCAGATGCTACAAAGAACAGGCTAAATAGAAACTAGCATTTTTAGCTAAACAAAACAATATGCTCAGTAGCAGAAGCTAACTAAGGTGAAGTGAAGTTGTCAACAGTCACTGGTGATAAATATGTTGCTAAACTGAAGCTACTTTGTGTTGAGAAGATGCTACAAGTTAGCTGACGAAGAGTTCTTTTTGACTTTGCCACGCTAATGCTACCGAATAGTTGCTAATTTAAGGCTAGTTTTTGTCAAGTACTGCTGTTGATAACTATTGCTAAACCGTAGTCTAAAGCGCTAATGACTGTGTTAGTTGTAAGCTAAGCTAAGCTGAGCTAAGCTAACCCTATTAGAGTGTAAGACCAGTGCCATTCTGCTGTAGTGGACGGTGGTTTGACTCCTTCAATAGTTGCTGTTAGCTGTTAGCTGTTAGCATGTACAGACTTCAGCTGTGTGTGACTGTAGTTCTGTTCTCTGTCCAGATGGAGGCGAATGCTGCTGAAAAACGCCATCGAACGCGGTCCAAAGGAGTCAGAGGTGAGAACCAGAACCAGAACCAGAACCAGAACCAGAACCAGAACCAGAACAGCTGCTTAGAACCAGGAGTGATGTCATCAGAGAACAAGTCCTAACTCTGTCTGTCTGTCTGTCTGTCTGTCTGTCTGTCTGCAGCTGCTGTGGAGGCCGTGGCTCAGGAGCTGTTCAGGTAGGTCAGAGGTCAGAGGTCAGAGGTCACCTGCTCTGATGTGTAGAGAGCTAAGGATAAGTCTGCACCTCCCTGTTTCTCCTCTCTGGACTCCTTTGGCCTCCACACTCACTAACACAAACTGACCACAGGAGGCAGTAGTGGACTTAGGTGTGTGTGTGTAGCTGTGCAGCAGTGGGGTCAGAGGATGAAGCTCAGTGTTGACCGTGGTGTCGGCTGAGGCGGGTGCTCAGTGGGTCTGGAGGTCAAAGCGTCAGCAGCTTGAAAGCTGCAGCGTAGAGTGAGTCATAACTGGAGAGGAAATAAGAACGAAGAGGGAGAAAAAGGAGGAGGAGGAGGAGGAGCTGCTGATGCTGCTGCTGCGGCTGCTGCTGGCGCTGGAGGTGTGCACCCGGGCGCTGTGGGTGGGGTTGTCTCCTGACTCTGCCGTGTCTCTGTCTCTCCTTCAGTTGTCCGACTCCAGGCTGTGATGGCAGCGGCCACGTCAGCGGCAAATACGCCAGACACCGCAGGTACGACACGTTTACTGCCACACCACGAATACTAGAGGGAGAGTTCAGAGTACTTCAAGGGTCTACGAAGTACTCTGAAGTACAAGAATAAATATCACCCACGAATGAAGTACTGGGAGAAAAAAAACAGTGATTTTAGCTGCTGGTCCACTGCTGCCCCCTGTGGTCAGTCTGTGTCACTGACAGCAGCAGTGGACCAACAACTGTATGGACTGCAGTGTCGTCCAGTCACCTGGTCTTGACCTGTGTGACCTTTGGTGATGGGGTCACAAACCGACCAATCCCAGCGTTCCTCCACATCAGCCTGAGTGACTGAGACCGACTGGGGTTCATGGCAGTGAATGAGTCTGAGGGGGGGGGGGGGGGGGGGGGGGGGAAAGACCCCCCCCTCTCCCCCCCCCCTCCCCCTCCCCCCCTCTTTGTCTCTCTCTCATGGATGTCACCATGGCGACAGCAGTGAGCGGATGCTGCAGTCTGAGGACCAGGAGGGATGTAGCTCGTCTCCCATGGCAACCACCAGTATAGGATGTGAGCATTGCTGTGCCCACATCACCTCCTCCTCCTCCTCCTCCTCCTCCTCCCTGCATCACTGACACCACCCAGACTCTCAGCTCTTAGATACAGTTCCACACAGTTGTCCGTGCTCCTCTGCTCACAGACACCACAGACACCACAGACACCACAGACACCACAGACACCACAGACACCTGACTGTCTGCCTATACAGTAGGTTCCCAACCCCTGGGTCATGGACCGGCAGCGGGCCGTGGGACACAGGGAAAAGAGTTGAAAAGGTTAACTTAAACCGCCGTTAGTGTCAAGTCCAGCTGAGTCCTGTAGTTTTCCTTTTGGCCACTAGTCGCCTTTTTTCAGATCACTTTTAGTTAAACTTTTAGTTGTTTGTTTTAGCTCCAGGCGCTAACGCTACCAAGCTAAAAAGGATTCTATTTTCTGTCCGTCGTTTTGAACTTTATTTTCAGATATTTGAGCTCTTTTTCTTCGTTGTCGTTGTTGAAACACCTCCACTTCCTGTTGTCCTCTACGTCTGAAGACACCGTCGACGCTAGTGCTAGGCTAGTCATCATTAGCTAACGTGAGGTGAGAGGACGTGAGGAGCGTTCTCACCAGCCTCTCTCTCTCTGACTCTGCACATAATTACAGCCTGTAGTCTCTCGCCCTCGTCTGCAGCGTTTCTGATCTGCTTTAATTATGAACAGAATTTTAATTGGCCAGAGACTGAGAGCTGGAGCTGGAGCTGGAGCCCCCCCCCCCCCCCCCCTAGGGTAAAAATGGAGAGATCATTTGAGGTGAAGTGTGTGTGTGTGTGTGTGTGTGAGTTTCTCCTCAAACTCAGGTTCATCCTGGTTTGTTTGCAGCTCAAATGTCACTGATTGGTTCCTGGGATAAAGTCTCTTCATGTCAGTGTGAACAGACGGTTGAACCATGTGACCACCTGACCATGTGACCACCTGACCATGTGACCACGTTCACGTTTTACCTCATTTGTTTTACTCCCAGCACCAAATATTTATAATAAATAATCTGGAGGTCAGGGGGGTCAGGGGGTTGGCGAGGTCAGGGGTCAGGGGGTTTGGCGAGGTCAGGGGGGTCAGGGGGTTTGGCAAGGTCAGGGGTCAGGGGGGTTTG